CCCCCCCCCACACACACACACACACACACACACACACACACACACACACACACACACACACACACACACGACACCCGTCCAGACTCAGTCCGTCACACCACTAACTACACCCGCATCGACTAACCCGGTTAACGGGCAGCAGAGGGATGGTTTTATCGCTCGGCGGATGTTTAGTTGTTCTGTAGCGACTCGATGTCCCGCACCGGCCCGTTTCATGTTTAAATGTCTACGGCTGCGTCTCAGAACCTAGTGTTACCTACCTAGACAGCACAACTGAGACATCACACACACACACAAGGTTCTGTGTGAATATATTTATCAGAGGTTGGATCAGTCGGTAACTGTGTGGAAGGCACTGTTGTTCTTGTTGTTGTTGTTCCAGCAGGAGGCGACAGCGCGCCAAACACCCGGAAGACAATGACGTCACCGTCGTGTCAGATCACGTGCTCAAATGAGAACTTCAGCTTTGTAGGAGTTTTTTTTCTTTTGGCTTGAGAGATAATCAAATTAAATTGGTTCATGTTGCGCTAATAAAACCAGCCGAACTCTGTCTCTGTTTAATATGAATACTATAAAGCATTTACCAGGTCACTGCCTTTATTAGGGGTTAGGGATGTAAGTGGCTAAATTTAGAAGCGCTCGTGCTCCTGAATATTGAAACAGCGCCATCTGCTGGAGGAACCATCATCATCATCATCATCATCATCACTGACATAAAAACAACATGCATGACCTGATTTCAAAAGCAATTTACTTTTTCCAACTTTTCCAACGAAATAGAAAAAACAAACAGACAGACATACTAAAGAGCAGTTTCTTCACTTGCAGAGGAATTTACACAGGGCGATATGAAATGAAGAGTTATTGCTCTGAGACGCCGTCTCGTACGTTTAAAAAGAAAACCGTATAAAAAGTCATCAACCCCCCTCGTTATTCGTACAGGACCATATCTATGACTTATATATTCATATTTATAGATATTTATATATGTATAGATATATACAACGCTACGCACTGGTAGTGGCCGGGCTGGAAAGTCCGTGTGTGTGTGAGATGGCTAGTACACCCAGGACACCGGCACCCACTGCGCAGTGCCAGACACCAGATCGATGGCCTCCTCCAGCAGGCGGATGGTGTCATCGATCTCGTTATTGATGATCGTCTGGTCGAAGTAATGTGTGTAAGAGTGCTGCAGCGCCTCCGACTCCTTCTGCAGCCGCTGGAGAGACTCGTCCTGATGAGAACAGACATCATCATCACTGACATAAAAACAACATGCATGACCTGATTTCAAAAGCAATTTACTTTTTCCAACACATGAAAGGAAATAGAAAAAACAAACAGACAGACATACTAAAGAGCAGTTTCTTCACTTGCAGAGGAATTTACACAGGGCGATATGAAATGAAGAGTTCACACAGTCTGTTCAGTTGTTTATGCACACACTACTTCATTTCAACCGCAAATTTACGCAACATTGAAACATTTACACACAATTAAATCCTCTCGGTTTTCTCGGAGTAAAACAATAATACTCTTAAGACAGCACATTTTCTGAAATGGTCGATCTAGGAATGGATATTTTCCTCCTCGTTCCGCACAAGAAATCAAATCCAGGACAATTTACAAACACGTCACTACACGGCGCATGAGGCTCGGAGGTGGATCTCGACACACACATCTAGAGGAAGAGGAGGAGCAGCCCGAGGAAGAGCGCTGGGCTGCGGTGCCCTTTGTGCAAACCTACATCTGTAAACAGAGGGGTGTATGCAAACAGTGCTCGTGTGTGAGAGAGAGAGAGAGAGAGAGTGAGAGTGAGAGTGAGAGTGAGAGTGAACTAAATTAAAATGAGAAATGTTGCCTTGGCAACTAGCTGAAATAAACAGTTTTTGATCTAAACACAAAACACTGATCAGCGTGCATGCATTCTGACGCACTAATCACATATTGAAATAAACATGAATTATTATTTGACATCAAAAGGCAAAAGCTCAAAAACTGGCGAGATTAATATGTATTAATATGTATTAGGGGCCGTTCACACTAGTGTTAATTTCATTAACACAAAAAGTATGATGAAAAATGTTCGTTGACTAGCTTTTTTCCCATGACTAAGACGAGACGATGACGAGATAAGGTCAATAAACAATAACTTTGAATATATCAACATGCAATATCGTTGACGAAAAAAGACGAGACTAAAATGTATTTAAAAAAAGAAAAACTATACCAAAATTTCTTTTAATTTTCGTAGAAAAATTTTTTTTGTCAAAATATTATTGCGGACTGCTGTAAAGTTCACATTGTATTCATTTGTGCTTAATGGAGAAAGTACAATACCTGAAATGGAAAAAATTAATTTCTCAAATGACAACAATGTTTTCGATTATAATTTTGAGCAAAAAAAAAAAAAAATTTTTTTTTTAATCAGTTTAATGATTATACAGCATGATGAAAATGTGACGAAAAGTTTTCTAAAATGCTAATTTAGTCGACTAAAACTAAACAAAACAGGACAAGGTTGACTAAATATGATAACTATAAAGTACATTTGACACCAAGACTAAGACTAAAACTAATTTAAAAGACTAAGACTAAGTCAAAGACTAAACTAAAAATGGCACGTTTTTCCTTTCCATTGCACTACTTCTACACAGTTTTTCTATGTAAGCATGCTGTAGTTTGATCGTTGCACTCGTGTCTCATGACTTTTGCAAAAATGTGGCACTAGACCTTGCATTTCCTCCCTACGGCGGAGCGGCTGTCACGGAGCGACTGCGCTGGCTCACATCTTTACTTACAGGCAGTTTTCTGCACCATCTAGGGAGCTGCGAGCAGCACACGGAGACGCGAGAAGAAACAAATCAACACTCAGAAACACATGCAGCATGCAATAAACGAGACGGCGGCGCTCACCTCGTTCATCGCAGGAGTGATAGTCGGAGCTGCGATGAAGATGACATATGGCGCAAACTCAGCCGTCCGCAGAACCTTCAGCGCCTGTGGAAACAACACGAGCGCATCAGAAGCACACAGGCAGAGAGAGAGAGAGAGAGAGAGAGAGAGAGAGAGAGAGAGAGAGAGGATGCGTCTGTACCTGCGGCTCCACGTCCAGGATGACCACCATGCCCTGCTCGTGGATCTGGCGGATGGTCTCGAGGCGCGTGCCGTACATGGCATCCTCGTGGCTGCCGTACTCCAGGTAATCATTGTTGGAGATGTCCTGCATCATCTGGTCATGTGACACAAAGAAGTAGTTCTTGCCGTTCTCCTCGTCCTTCTTTGGAGGTCTGGTGGTGTCTGTCGGAGAGAGAGAGAGAGAAATTGTTCATAGAATAATAAATGTTGATTTGTTCTATTTTAATTATATATACAGTGATGTGAAAAAGTGTTGTTCTTATTTTTTTTGCATGTTTGTCACACTTTAATGTTTCAGATCATCAAACAAATTTAACACTACAACACTCCTGCCCTGATCTACAGAGCAGTCTTCAGATTTGAGTTGCTGGATTTCACAGAAAATCATGTAAGGTGTGATGGACACAGAATCTGATTCCATCCAGTCGGACGATATTAAACACGTCTGATATTTTGAGAACTGTTTGATTTATCATGTGTCTCAGAGCAATGAGATGCGTGTTTCTGTGCGAGTTTGTCGTGAAAGTATTACTGTAATATGAACTAGTGATGAGTTATGGCTTGTACTAATCACAGATGGATTCATATGACTCGTGTCGTAGTTTAAGCTCTTGATTAGTACTTGCCATAACTCATCATTAGTTCATATGTAAGTAATATTAAATCTAGCTATTAGTGCATGGCTATGTTGAAGTGGTGCAGTGTGTTCAAGCTTCAGTCGAGCTCCTGCTCCTTCCACACCAGCAGTCAAAGTCATCAGTGCTTTTCAATAAGACGTGACTGTGAGGAAGTTCTACAGCCCTCACAGGAAGTGACTGAAGCTCCACGGCAACACAACACTGTCAAACACATCAACTAATTTCAACAACAGATCTCACAAAAACACTGAACTTCCTTTACTAGTTGCCTGCTTGACATGGGTAACATAAATAAAAACACAACAACCATTACTTAAGCAAAAGGAGATTGACATGATTAGTTACTTACATGCGGGAGGCCATTAAAGGGAGACAGCGTGTAAAATGGACAGGGGTCAGTTAAACACACATTACAAACACACACACACACACACACACACACACACACACACAAGCGGCGCTGGAGAGAACGATACCATGCTGCTGAACACACACATATGAGCCATGTGCTCACACACACACACACTCACACAGACACACACACACTCAGACACTCACACAGACACAGACACAGACACACACAGACACACACACAGACACACACTCACACAGACACACACACACTCAGACACTCACACAGACACAGACACAGACACACACAGACACACACACAGACACACACTCACACAGACACACACACACTCAGACACTCACACAGACACAGACACAGACACACACAGACACACACACAGACACACACTCACACAGACACACACACACACACACAGACACACACACACACACAGACAGACACACACACACACTCACACACACACACTCACACACTCACACTCACACAGACAGACACACACTCACTCACACTCGAGCGGCACTGGAGAGAACGACACGCATGCTGCTGAACACACGCATATGAGCCATGCGCTCACACACACACACTCACACACACACACTCTCACACACACCACTCTGCTGTTACACGACAACATCACAATCAGCAGAGAAATCTCAGACGCCACGCTTCGCTTCAGCTTTGTTGTGGCCACGGCACAAGGACTCATGGGAATGTGATCACATGACATTACACTACAAGACACTGAGTCCATGAGATCATTGTGTTGAGGAAAATGATGTGATATGATGTCATGGTCTTGAGATCCTGATGCAGGAACAACATGATTTTAATAAGTAAACAAACCTGCATCACCATAGAAACCTGGGATTAGATCATTAATAAAATAACATTTTATTTAGAATTAAGAATGACAGTGCAGCATTAAGACAAGGCTACATGTATATTATAATATATTATATTATTATATTATATCTTGTTCCCATGGCATAATTCAAATGTTTTAAGAATTTGCTATAAATATATATTATTCGATTCTTAATAATGTATATCTTTTGCCATAGTGCATTTTCTTGTGGCCACGAATTTAATGAGTAAAAAACCCTGCATTACCATAAAAACACTATATATTATATTATATTATATTATATGACATTACATTATATTATATTAAACGTTGTTCCTGTGACAACGTTTAAATTATTAGTGTATTATATTATTAAAATGATATATTTTTAGGCCACAATACATTTTCTCATGGCCATGAATTTAGTGTATAAAAAAACCTGTTACAATAGAAACCTGGGATTATCATAAATGAAAATGATTAATAAAATAACATTTTTATTCAGATCAATTAAGAATATATAAAGCAGCACTTAGGCACATTGTTATATCATCTTATACCTCATTCCTGTGACATTACAAAAGTCTGAATAATCTGTTATTAATAATATATAATATTAATAATTTACATAATACATCTCAAAAAATAAATCTGTAGACACAAGTTTTCCTCTTTGAGGGTATTGACTTCTCTTAATGGGATTTTAACATTACGTATTATAACTGAATACTTCATTTCAGTTAGAGTAGTCATATATTATAATATGAAGATATAATTAGTGGTGTTTTGCAAATAATTTGGCTTCTTTGAATGAATCATTTAAATGAAGGGATCACAACACAGCATCTTCAAATCGCACAATGAATGTCGTAACTTTGACAAAACGATCACAACACAACATGATGACAACATGTTGTCAACAAAACTGAGTGCAGTGAAGAGTGAAGCGAGTCGTTTAGTGAGCAGCAGTGTGTCCGGCGCAGTGATGCTCAGTGTGTGTCAGCAGGTGGCAGCGTCTCTCTGATCTGATGTCAGTAGGTCACAGAGAGGTCAGCGCATTCACACACAATTCAGCAGCTTCAGACATCCAGATTTACAGTCAATATTCAACAAAATACTGTATAATAAATCTTCTGTCAGTAACTTACCCATTTCAGATTATTAAAAAGCTCTATTTAAAACAGTCTCTGTGTGTGTGTGTGTGTGTGAGAGAGTGTGTGTGAGTGAGTGTGTGTATGTGAGTGTTGTGTATGTGAGTGTTAGTGTGTGTGAGTGTCAGTCTCTGTGTGTGTGAGAGAGTGTGTGTGTGAGTGAGTGTGTGTATGTGAGTGTTGTGTATGTGAGTGTTAGTGTGTGTGAGTGTGTGTGTATGTGAGTGTTATTGTGTATGTGAGTGTTAGTGTGTGTGTGTGTGTGAGAGAGAGAGAGAGTGTGTGTGTGTGTGTGTGAGAGAGAGAGAGAGTGTGTGTGTGTGTGTGTGAGAGAGAGAGAGAGTGTGTGTGTGTGTGTGTGAGAGAGAGAGAGAGTGTGTGTGTGTGTGTGTGAGAGAGAGAGAGAGTGTGTGTGTGTGTGTGTGAGAGAGAGAGAGAGTGTGTGTGTGTGTGTGTGAGAGAGAGAGAGAGTGTGTGTGTGTGTGTGTGAGAGAGAGAGAGAGTGTGTGTGTGTGTGTGTGAGAGAGAGAGAGAGTGTGTGTGTGTGTGTGTGAGAGAGAGAGAGAGTGTGTGTGTGTGTGTGTGAGAGAGAGAGAGAGTGTGTGTGTGTGTGTGTGAGAGAGAGAGAGAGTGTGTGTGTGTGTGTGTGAGAGAGAGAGAGAGTGTGTGTGTGTGTGTGTGAGAGAGAGAGAGAGTGTGTGTGTGTGTGTGTGAGAGAGAGAGAGAGTGTGTGTGTGTGTGTGTGAGAGAGAGAGAGAGTGTGTGTGTGTGTGTGTGAGAGAGAGAGAGAGTGTGTGTGTGTGTGTGTGAGAGAGAGAGAGAGTGTGTGTGTGTGTGTGTGAGAGAGAGAGAGAGTGTGTGTGTGTGTGTGTGAGAGAGAGAGAGAGTGTGTGTGTGTGTGTGTGAGAGAGAGAGAGAGTGTGTGTGTGTGTGTGTGAGAGAGAGAGAGAGTGTGTGTGTGTGTGTGTGAGAGAGAGAGTGTGTGTGTGTGTGTGTGTATGTGAGTGTTAGTGTGTGTGTGTGGTTGTGTGTGTGTGTGAGAGAGTGAGTGAGTGAGTGAGTATGTGAGTGTTAGTGTGTGTGTGTGTGTGAGTGTGATTATTCTGATGATGTCATGATGGACGGTCCGCTGCTCATTACCTGCGTTGTGTTTGGCTAAGTATTTGTCTTTGTACTGTTTCTTCTTCTTGCCGAACCATGTACAGCTGGCCTGCTGCTCCTGCTTGGTCTTCTCCATCGCTATACACGCCACGCGCCTGACGACACACACACACACACGTGCATGAGACCAGGCCTCGCTCACACGAGTGCAGCTGTGGTCTGTGTTTCTCACCACTCCTGCAGCTCCGGCGAGGGAAACACACACACACACACAGACACATGAGACCAGGCCTCGCTCACACGAGTGCAGCTATGATCGGTGTTTCTCACCACTCCTGCAGCTCCGGCGAGGGAATGAGGCCCGCCGTGCCGTTCTTGGTGTTCTCCAGTTTGCCCTGCCACCAGTTATGATCGTCTTTACTGATGATCTGGATGATGTCACCCACCCGGAAACGAACGCCAGCCTCTTTACAGGGAATCAGGTCGTCTTTAGCAGGATCGTACTCGAACTGCGCTCGAACGTAAATCTGCAGAAACACACGAGTGAGCGTTAGAAAAATTAGATTCATCACTGAAACTAGTAAAGCTTATAATTAGGGCTGTCCATCGACTGCAAATTTATTTGGAATAAATTACATTAATTAATTACATAATCATTATTCTTACGATTATTCTTATCATTAAGACAATATATCCAGTAAAACCACTCAACTGTTCAATTCAGATTTGCCTTGTCATTTTTTTATAATTGTACTAAATGAACAGCCCTAGTTATGTAACTGCATATAACACACACACACACACACACACACACAAGTCAACCAATCAGATGTGAGCAAACCCCATTGACGGACAGCACGGGCGTGTCTAAGAAGCCAATCATCTGTGACGGGCGGGGCCAATCACACTACTAGGACGGACACAGATGTGATTGGCAGGTGGGTTAGTGTCATGTACCATCACTATGGGATGCTGGGAGAGTCTATAAGCACCAACTAGAGAAGCAAAGCCTGATGGGAAATGAATCCGGCTCAACGGCTCTACTGGATCTGAGAAACTCACCTTCCGAAACATTTTATCCTTGACTGTGGGTCTGGAGATCTAAGGGTTTGAAAGCATCACACACACACACATCATGCAGTAGAACAGACTGACGAGGACAGGAAACAGCAGGACGACGCAGGAATCGCATCATAAAGCAGTAGGCTGATGGGACGGGCATTAAAGGCCTATTCACACCCAATGCAGGCTTCTCTTTCAATCAAAAATATGCATTCAAAAATTCACCTGTCAATAAAGTGATGTTTTTTTCTCCATCATCAGCGACAAAAAATTAAATACCCACACTGGTTTTTATGAAGCTTTCATCTGCCAATAAGAGCGCAGGTCTTATATGAGAGGCAGAAAAGGGAATAAACCTCCAGAGATTGGGCCTGTTGAAGGGAAGCGAGTGAGAGACGGATCGCTTTCCTTCAGGTGTGTCAACGTTTTTTCAGAATGAAAACATCTGACTGAAATTGAAAAGCAACAGTCACACGTGTCTCTCGGTGAGATCTTCAGGAGGAGCAGCTGAGAGACACACACAGACACACACTCATGACGGCAACACAGACGCTCACCTGTCTTCCTTTGGGCTGGATAGTTGATGGCAGATCCTGCAGAGAAATTATTACCTTTATAAACCACTCGATTACTACATCAACTATTAGTTTCAAACACAAATATTCTGTTTTGAAAAGGCTGATGGACACAAACTGTTACGACATTACTCGTTACTCTTCTGTGCAGAGTAACGCAAGAAAAGGCCTAAATCTTCATCAGCACCCATAATGCATTGAGCGCGTGCTGTGGTTTATTCTGACACAGAGGATCTGGAGTCTTACTAAGATGGAGCTGGTGACGCTGGAGTGGCCGTTCGCAGGAGACTGTCCGGACAGTTCAGGCGAATCTTTCTGAAACGCCACAGTAAAACAGAGTAAGATGTGATGTCATGTGTACATTTTGTGTTGATATTCCAGAAGTGTCCAGCGTGTGGCGCTCTGACAGGAACACTTACATCACAGGACAGAGACTGACTGCGGTAACTGGGCACAATTTTGAAGGTGATGCTGCCTCGCATCTCCCGCTGTTTAAAAACAAAACACAAACACGTGACAAACTATAACTGACCGCTGATGTAAACAGTAACCAGGAGCTCAAAATCACACACTGCCTGACAGAGATCAGAGACATGAGTGTGTGAGTGCGTGTGCGTGTCTGTGTGCATGTGTGTGCATGTGTGTGCATGAGTGTGTTTGCGCGTGTGTGTGTTTGCGCGTGTGTGCATGAGAGTGTGTGTGTGCATGTGTGTGTGTGAGAGAGAGAGAGAGAGAGAGAGAGAGAGAGAGAGAGAGAGAGAGAGAGAGAGAGAGAGAGAGAGAGAGAGAGAGAGAGAGAGAGAGAGAGAGAGAGAGAGAGAGAGAGAGAGAGAGAGAGAGAGAGAGAGAGAGAGAGAGAGAGAGAGAGAGAGAGAGAGAGAGAGAGAGAGAGAGAGAGAGAGAGAGAGAGAGAGAGAGAGAGAGAGAGAGAGAGAGAGAGAGAGAGAGAGAGAGAGAGAGAGAGAGAGAGAGAGAGAGAGAGAGAGAGAGAGAGAGAGAGAGAGAGAGAGAGAGAGAGAGAGAGAGAGAGAGAGAGAGAGAGAGAGAGAGAGAGAGAGAGAGAGAGAGAGAGAGAGAGAGAGAGAGAGAGAGAGAGAGAGAGAGAGAGAGAGAGAGAGAGAGAGAGAGAGAGAGAGAGAGAGAGAGAGAGAGAGAGAGAGAGAGAGAGAGAGAGAGAGAGAGAGAGAGAGAGTGTGTGTGTGTGAGAGAGAGTGAGTGAGTGAGTGAGTGAGTGAGTGAGTGTGTGTGTGCATGAAAGTGTGTGTGTGTGAGTGAGTGAGTGTGTGCGCATGAGAGTGTGTGTGTGTGTGTGTGTGTGTGTGTGTGTGTGTGTGTTTGTGTGTGTGTGTAGTGGCAGCGCACCTACCTGACCATATTTTGGGGACAAATTTGTACCAAAAGTGAGCTAAACCTGACAAAACCTCCGTTTTGGGGACATGCTCGTTTATAAAACAGTTTAAAAATAAAGTATATTGAGGTTTTTTTTTTTTATGTACGAATGCACAAGCTTTCTGTCAGGGTTAATGTGTGGGTTAGGACATGGTTATAGTATTTATAACTAGCTGTATATATAAAGGAAGTCAGTGTAATATCTTTATTTAGAAAGCAGAGCAAACGTGTTTGTGTCACTTGAGCTTTCAGTATTTAGTCAACACATTTAACGTTAAAGGCCTGGTTTCACAGACAGGGCTTAGACTGAGTCAGGATTGGGCCAAAGTTGAATTAGGACAAAACAATAGCACTGACATATTTTAATATCAATCAGTGCAAGTTTATTTCATGTGTTTTTTTCTGGGACTAGGCTTAAGCTGTGAAACCGGAGGATAAAGTCACATTGCACTGATTATAATACCTGTTCTGTTGACATGCTTTTGTCACTGATTAAATATGTTATGATAACTAGTTGTGCATTAACCTGGGTTTGTAGTTATGACAGGAGGACTAGAGCAGGTGAAGTCCTCTCTGAGGTTATTAGACGGGTCTGGTGGGTTTACTCGAATAGTTACCACAGTGACTCAGTCTTTGCTTCTGATAAGATCCTGATCTCTAGCACTAGTGTTGTTCTGCTCTCTCTCTCTCTCTCTCTCACACACACACACACACAAACAAACACACCAGCATCTTCTGGAGCTGCTCCACCGTCTGATTGGCCACACTGATGCCGTTGATTTCACGAATCTCGTCTCCAACATGCAGCGTCCCTGAGAAATGACAGCGTACATGAGCACAGAGACACACACACACACACACACACACACACACAGAAACACAAATGAGAAATTGAAACCAAACACACCCACTCTCTCTCACACACACACACACGCACGCCGGTGTTCACGTCAATCACACACACAGCCGTACCCTGTCTGTGGATCATCCCGCCGTGCATGATTCTAGCCACGATGCAGTGGTTCAGATCGTTCATCTTCAGAGTGATGCCCTGTCAACACACAATCACACCCATGTTATCAGCACACGTCCATCTGCAGCTCTCTCACATCTCTGCAGTCTCACAGCGATCACACGAGCATCACAAACGTCCCTCACGAGGGGATTTCAGTGTCTCATCTCAGTCTCAACCGAATCCAATAAAGTCACGCAACACTACTGTCTACAGCTGCTTAGTGCTGAATTTAACTGATGAAATTCACAGATATTGATCTGAACTACACTGAAGGTCTGAATAATATCACTATTGTTTTCTGTAGAGCTGTTTTACAGAAAAATTCGAATTTGTCTTAAATTTTGCATCATCAATTCTGTTAACTTCAGTGAAGCTGCTTTGAAACTATCTGTGTTGTATAAAGCATTACAGAATTAAATGTGACTTGACAGAGTAATAGATTTGTCAATCTGATCTGACATAATTCAGTTTTATTGCACACTTTGCATGCAACACCATTACCACACAATCTTCCACTCCATAAACAGAGGAAAAGAGAATTAGACTGTGACACACAAGTGTGTTTGTTGCTAGAAATCAATTAAATCAGAATGTACGCATTTGCTTTTACACGTTTCTTGTTTTAGTATAATTTTTTTGTGAATTTTTAATTTTCTTTTTTTGTCTCTTATTTTTATTATCTCTTTCACAAGACAATGTACCACTCAAAATTAAAAAAAAAAAAAAAAGTTTTTCAGAAATTGTGGTAACAAGGTCATATAAGACCAATATAAAATAAAACGGCTCATAAAACATTTACTTTGAGCTCCAGAGCTGGAAACATCAGTTTCATTCACTGGCGTTTTGTTGGAAGGTCTATTTTGGCCCTGATCATGGAAAGTAATACTGTATAGTGTTTCTGGTCACATCATTCTGTTAGAGTCTCGTATAAACACGAGCTTATTTCAGAATATCTGACACTGGTCGCTCATGAAACAGCAATGACACGAGCGTGTGTGTGAGTGTGTGTGTGTGTGATTGGGTACCATGGGCTCGTCCGTGTTCTTCTGGAACTGCACCAGGCGCACACGCGTGACGTTCTCCAGGTCCATGTCTCCGCTGACGCTCTCGGGCGAGTCTCCGTTGAGGTAAGGGGACGTGGGTGGAGGTGTCACTCGCAGCGCCTCGTCGCTGTAAACCTCATGAGCCACGACATCGTGCGTCTGCAGCAGCGCCTGCGACAGGAACCACACACTCAGCATCTGCAGCGTCAAACACTCATCTCTGAACAAAACCCGTTCATTAGCATCTGTGGATCAGATTTCATCTGCGCGGACAGCGTGAGCACAAATCATAATCAATAAAAAATAACAGATTCATGAACGGCCACGACTGCGACAGGAACATGTGTGTGCATAAAAATCATTACACACTCCACAGCTGTAGTTTATCACAGGTTTACTGTGTGTTTGTGTGTGTGTGTGTGTGTGTGTGTGTGTGTGTGTGAGTGTGTGTGTGTGTGAGTGTGAGAGAGTGTGTGTGTGAGTGCGCACATGTGAATGTGTGTGTGAGTGTGAGAGAGTGTGTGTGTGTGTGAGAGAGAGTCTGTGAGTGTGTGTGTGTGAGAGTGTGTGTGTGTGTGTGAGTGCGCACATGTGAGTGTGTGTGAGAGTGTGTGTGTGAGAGAGGGAGTCTGTGTGTGTGTGTGAGAGAGTGTGTGTGTGAGTGTGCGTGTGTGTGAGTGTGTGTGTGAGAGAGTGAGTGTGTGTGTGAGAGAGTGAGTGTGTGTGTGTGTGTGTGTGAGTGTGCGTGTGTGCGTGCGTGTGTGTGTGCGTGTACGTGTGAGTGACTGTGTGAGTGAGAGAGAGTGTGTGTGTGTGTGTGTGTGTGTGTGAGAGAGTGCGTGAGTGTGTGTGTGTGCGCATTTTTGTGACAAATGAGGACATAAATTTGTATAATGACAAAGGTATAACATAGGTATTACAAGGAGAAGGTGACTTTTCAGGACATTACCCCATGTCCCCACTTTTCAAAATGCTTATAAATCACACAGAATGGAGTGTATTGAAAATCTGAAATAGCACAAAGTTTCCTGTGAGGGGTAGGTTTAGGGGTAGGGTTGGTGTAGGGCAATAGAATATACGGTCTGTACAGTATAAAAACCATTACGCCTATGGAGAGTCCCCATAAACCATAAAAACAAACCTGTGTGAGTTTGTGTGTGTGTGTGTGTGTGTGTGTGTGTGAAGTGTGACTGTTTGTTTATTTGGTCACTACAGTAATAACACAAGCTGGCTCATCTCACATCTGAGCGGAAAACAAAACCACATGGCAGAGAAAAGCTTCTAACACTTCAGAGTCACAAAAGCCATTTGAAACCTTAATGCAAAAGTTAAATAACTTAAAAGCAAACTAAGTTACTTCTTAACTGTTGAAGTTTTACATTGTTTACTTTGTGTAAAAATAACAGGTAACATCTACATATTTCTACACACATTTTTTACATTTTAAATTTGCATAAGTTAATGCATCAAGAAGAAACATGAACGAACAATGAACAACACTGTATTTATTAAACGACATTAATCTGCATTAATACATACTGTAAAAGTCTTGTTCATTGTTAGTTCATGAAACCTAATGAATTAAGTAATGCTAATGAACATTACTGTAAATATCAAACATTATAAACACATTCTCAATCTGGACTATGAGGGGAACCAGCATCAAAAACCATAAATAATGTAAAAAAATAATTTATAAAGGAATCATTCTCAGAAATCATCAACACACTGATTATTTCTATGGATTAATAACTATGATACTTTGTTATTATTATTTTAAAGCAGGTAATTGTGAGTTTAAGCTGTGTATCAGATAATCGGGATGATTTTCATGACAATCAAACACATTTCAAGTAAAAAAAAATTCTCATTGCTGTAATGTGGACAAATACTATCCATATTTAATATTGCATTTAAAGTTAAAGTACATAATAAAGTTGTATCTTTTACAATTGCAATAAGAATACATCATGCTAGAATTTGTTGTACAGAACTTAATTTATGCTGCTTCTTAATAACTTTTTAATTAATGTTATAAAATAAATAGATTAAGGCTTGGAAAGCTCTGCTCACGAATACATAAGAAAAATACACAAATATCTGCCAATGGAGTCAGAAAAATTAAGTTTTCATTCACAATTGGCATATATTTGTTCTTGTTTTAAGCATAGACTCACTTCATTTTGATCGATTTCTAAGAAATTAAGGCTTCATGTGTTCGATTTGAATCTCCAGTTAAAGTATCTTGATTTAAGGATGTTTAGATGTTTGAACTGAAAAACAAGACAGAAATACTGAGGGAGAGATTTATTTTGTTGCTGTGCATGCAACATTTAATGCCATGAATTTATGAATTTAAGACTTTCTGCTTTGATTTAAGAGCTTTTCAGGTCTTTATTTATGAATTAAAACTTTTCACGACCCACACAAAGCCTGTATTAATTTAAAAAATGGTTTGTTTGAGCTTTATGACTGTAGTACATCAACAGGAATTTACAGGATAAACATTTCATTCTCATAAAACAATGTGACAATATCAAACAGTCCTAATGAAATATATCACTGGTTTTGAGGTGAAATACGACCTGGACATTCTTTATAATATTCTCTCATAAGCGTCTGCTAAATTGATAGACGTCTGCATCTGGAGGCGTCGCGTCTCGCTGACACCTCATGCTCTGGTTTCGTCTGAGTGTGAACAGAGCGCTGCGTCCGACAGCTTTGACTCACCATGAAATGCGGCTGTGTCAGGATTCTCTTCAGCTCTTTTGCCTCCATGTTCTCAGGATAACAGGAGAGCATCTCCAACACCTGCCGAGAAACACGGTTCACAGCACAGAACACCACTACCAGTAGAAAAAACATCTTTAAAATACACACATAAATATTAAAAAAAATTATGATATGAGTAATCATATGTGACCCTGGAGCACAAAAGCAGTGTTAAGTCGCTGGGGTATATTTGTAGCAATAGCCAACAATACATTGTATGGGTCAAAATTATACATTTCTCTTTTATGCCAAAAATCATTAAGATATTAAGTAAAGATCATGTTCCATGAAGATATTTTGTAAATCTCCTACCGTAAATATATCAAAACTTAATTTTTGATTAGTAATATGCATTGCTAAGAACTTAATTTGAACAACTTTAAAGATGATTTTCTCAATATTTAGATTTTTTTGCACCCTCAGATTCCAGATTTTCAAATAGTTGTATCTCAGCCAAATATTGTCCGATCCTAACAAACCATACATCAATGGAAAGCTTATTCGTTCAACTTTCAGATCATGTATAAATCTCAATTTCTAAAAATTGACCCTTATGACGTTTTTGTGGTTTTGTGGTCCAGGGTCACATATTAATGTAAACCAGAGCTGAAGATAAGAAGCTCTAGTCTTATTAACCGAGTGTTACGTGACGAAGCCTCATATTCTGATCCATTCATCCACTCGCTACGTTCCTTGTGTTTGAAACATGAATGAATGCTGGAAGGTTCTGACTGTGAATGTTCAGATGTATGTAATGTTTGACAAGAGTCTCTGAGAGCACAGATATAAACGCTGCACAGAACATCCGTCAGACGCTCCTGGAGCTGAGAGAGGTTCGAGGAGTGTGTGCTGTGTTGGTTACGCACCTCTTTGGCTCTCTGGACGGCGTCACTGGGTGGATTCCTGATCTGCGGCGACGAGCGGGTGTTAATCTTGTCGTACAGCTGAAACACACACAGTTCAGCTCATCAGTCATATCAGTGAGACCATCAGCTGAACGCATGCATCTCGTGATCTAGAAACACACACACACACACACACACACACACACACAAGTTTATATCAGGCAATCTCTCTCACAGAATGAACTACATTTGAACAGAAGCTCAAAATCAAAGGACACTTTCCACAGTTTGTGTTGCTGAGCTGTCACTCCTGAGAACAAACATTTGCCACATTTTACATGTTTAAACGTGCATGTGCATACACACTCAATTCAATTCAAGTTTATTTGTATAGCGCTTTTCACAATACAAATCATTGCAAAGCAGCTTTACAGAAAATTAAGTTTCTACAATATATTTAGTAGTAGCTTATCAGTGGTGGCTGTGTCAAATTGATGTACATATGGCAGAAATGTACGGTAAAATTCAGTTAATGACACACTCGTACCGACATCAGCTTTAACAGCAGTGAATCCTCCTTCCTCAGTATTTCTGTCTTGTTTTCCAGGGCAAACGTCTCAAGATTCTTAAATCACGACACATTTACTTGACATGAGCGATGAGCTAAATGACTTAAAACAAGAAGACTTATTTCATGAGAAACTGATCAAAATGAAGTGAGTTTATCATTAAAACAAGACCAAATATCTGCCAATAGAGTCAGAAAAATTACATTCAAAGGGAACACAAGTTTTCATTGAGATATTTGTTCTTGTTTTTAATTTTGATCACTTTCTAATAAAACAAGACTCCATATGTTCAATTTGCGTCTCCAGTAAATGTGTCTTGATTTAAGGATGTTTAGATATTTGTGCTGGAAAACAAGACAGAAACACTGAGGAAGAGATTCATGTTTTACAGTGTATGCAAAGACTTTAAGACTTAATACTCTGATTTAAGAGCTTTTTAGGCCTTAATTTGTGGAAGAAAACATCATGAGAACAAACACTGTGTGCCTGATTTTACTTGCTTTTCCTCACAACAAGCATGTGCACATGTACACACACACACACACACACACACACACACACAGACACACTCACACACACACACACACACACACACACACACACACACACACACACACACACA